AGAGTTTTTTGAGTTCATTGTTCAGTATGGTTATGGTTGTGGGGTAAAAACATGGAGAAGGATCAGGAGAAAGGTAAAACACGGTGGAGGTTCTGTTATGGTTTGGGGCTGTTTCAGCCAGTACTGATTTTTCACTATATTAGTCAACCTAGAAATGCAGTAAAAGCAAACATGAATAGAAAAAACACACACAATGGAACCGCGTCAGTCATGGATTGGCCTTCCCAGAGCCCAGATCTCAACATTTTGTTGAGGCCAAAATCCAAAGTAGAGCTTTGAATGTCTTCAAAAAGCCTGGAGAACTATTGCTGAAGACTATTTAAGGAAATTAAAAGAAAGCTGACTAAGTTTGTGAAAATGTACAAAATCTTTTTTGCCATATGTTCTATATTTTCATGTGTTTCAATAAATCTCTGCACCCATTTCCTGTATCCCCAGCAAAATAGAAAGAAATGGTTGGCTGCTTCATGGTTTTGCACAATACTGTATGTTTTTAAAAGAAACCTTTAATATCTAAAGTAGTATTTTCAAAATATATACTGTAAGGTAAAAGTTTAGATTTCTTTACTTGTGACTCAGTAAGTCTAAGTTAATCCTGCATATCCATAATTATTATTGATTAGGTTCGGCTCTTTTGAAGAGCATGCACGTCTTATTTTTGCACACTCTTGAAGTATTCACAGATCCTCCGAGCTGTGAGGAACTGTTGACGTCACAGGCAGAACAGAAGCCATCAACTAAAAAGATACTGGCAGCCATGTGGCTGCTGCATTTTCCGATGCTCTCAATTTAGCAACCTGACTAAATCCTATTTACATGAAACAGTTTTATGAATGTTTATGAATGTTTTCTGTGATCCTCTGTGCAGCGTTCTCACAGTAGGTTTATCACATCTCGACCCACCTGCTCAGCCCTCGTTTGCATAACAGAATGTGTTGAGGAAGGGTCGGGGCTTCTCCATTATTTAACAAGCATCTCTGTGTTCCTGCGTGTAAGCCGATAGGCCCGAGCTGTGAGGACGGTGCACTTGTTTTCTTTGTTCTTTATTCTGTCTGAGTTCTAGTGTTCCGCTGCAGCCGAGTCGAGATAACAGTCTAAATATAGAGGCGGGTGAAGGGACTGAGTCCTGTGGGCTACAGTCATCGTGCTCTGAAGAGTCACTCACTCTGTTTTCTAAATCCTTTTAGGTCTCGTAGGTTTGAATCTTTGTAGTCCTGGACAGCTAATGCAGTAACGTAACGGCAGTGTGAGTTTCAGTGAAGCTGCTGTTGTTCTTTGGCTGACTGTTAGAGCAGATCTGCAGCCCAGTTTAAAACACAGCAGTAGTTTGACCTTGCTGAATAAATATGTAGAACTAGCTAATGCAGTGCATAAGATTCATAAAAAGGTTCAATGTATAATAAGGAACTTTGAGGAAAATTTGGATTTTAAAGTGAGTGCTAGTCTTATATTTTTATGAGATTGTGTTCCTCAAAAGAAATATGGTCTCATTAATAACTGCATGTTACACCTTTAGATGGGTTTGAACCTAACACCTTATACTGGAAACCAAGAGAGTGGAGGTGTCTACAGTTCCTTAGGTTAGGCGCTAACTTAAACTGTGATCTAGCTATGATAGTAACCAGAATCATAGTTAGACCCCAATCTAAGGACTAGAGTAGGTTATTTTCTTAATTAGGAATATCTGTGTCTAAACCCAACTAAACTTTGAGTGAAAAAGAAGGCAAACAGTGAATCAAAGTCTGAAAGTTGTCAGACACATCTGTCCCTGCATCCTTCGCCTGTCTGCATCCTAATGTGGACTTTTTTTTAATGCCTCTGTTAGTCATTTAAAAGAAGCTCGCACGGGCTCTTTCAGACAAAAGGAACAAAGGACCATTATGACTACATTTTTTTCATCCATCGTTTAAAGTAAAACACGGTATTTCAGTATTAGCAAATGCACCATACCAGATCCTATATTGGCTTTACAATGAGGTCAGGATGCTGAACAAGACTTGTTACACCCTGCTACAGCTTTCCAAGAAATTAATTAAATCTGAAGTTTATCCCTTTGAACGTAAAGGTTTCATGCTGTACATAGTTCATGGTTAACATAGACTTAGAGTCCCCCAGAAATCTGTTTGAGGAAAATGGCTAACCATTCAATTCAATTCAATTCAATTTTATTTATATAGCTCCAAATCACAACAAAAGTCGCCTCAAGGCGCTTCATAGATACAGAGAAAAACCCAACAATCATATGACCCCCTATGAGCAAGCACTTTGGCGACAGTGGGAAGGAAAAACTCCCTTTTAACAGGAAGAAACCTCCGGCAGAACCAGGCTCAGGGAGGGGCGGCCATCTGCTGCGACCGGTTGGGGTGAGAGAAGGAAGACAGGATAAAAGACATGCTGTGGAAGAGAGACAGAGGTTAATAACAGATATGATTCAATGCAGAGAGGTCTGTTAATACATAGTGAGTGAGAAAGGTGACTGGAAAGGAAAAACTCAATGCATCATGGGAATCCCCCGGCAGCCTACGTCTATTGCAGCATAACTAAGGGAGGATTCAGGGTCACCTGGTCCAGCCCTAACTATATGCTTTAGCAAAAAGGAAAGTTTTAAGCCTAATCTTAAAAGTAGAGATAGTGTCTGTCTCCCGAATCCAAACTGGAAGCTGGTTCCACAGAAGAGGGGCCTGAAAACTGAAGGCTCTGCCTCCCATTCTACTTTTAAATACTCTAGGAACAACAAGTAGGCCTGCAGAGCGAGAGCGAAGTGCTCTAATAGGGTGATATGGTACTACAAGGTCATTAAGATAAGATGGGGCCTGATTATTTAAGACCTTGTATGTGAGGAGCAGGATTTTGAATTCAATTCTGGATTTAACAGGAAGCCAATGAAGGGAAGCCAAAACAGGAGAAATATGCTCTCTCTTTCTAGTCCCTGTCAGGACTCTTGCTGCAGCATTTTGGATTAGCTGAAGGCTTTTCAGTGAGTTTTTGGACATCCTGATAATAATGAATTACAGTAGTCCAGCCTGGAAGTAATAAATGCATGAACTAGTTTTTCAGCGTCACTCTGAGACAGGAAATGGAAGAAAGCAGTCTTACATATTTGTTTAATATGTGCGTTGAAGGACATGTCCTGGTCAAAAATGACTCCAAGGTTCCTCACAGCGTTACTGGAGGCCAAGGTAATGCCATCCAGAGTAAGAATCTGGTTAGATACCATATTTCTAAGCTTTTCAGGGCCGAGTACAATAACCTCAGTTTTATCTGAATTAAGAAGCAGAAAGTTAGCGGCCATCCAGGTCTTTATGTCTTTAAGACATTCCTGCAGTTTAACTAATTGGTGTGTGTTATCTGGCTTCATGGACAGATAGAGCTGGGTGTCATCTGCATAGCAGTGAAAATGTATGCTATGTCTTCTAATGATACTGCCTAAGGGAAGCATGTATAATGTAAACAGAATTGGTCCTAGCACTGAACCCTGTGGAACTCCATAATTAACCTCAGTGTGTGAAGAGGACTCTCCATTTACATGCACAAATTGGAGTCTATTAGATAGATATGATACAAACCACTGCAGTGCAGTACCTGTAATACCTACAGCATGTTCTAATCGCTCTAATAGGATATTATGGTCAACAGTATCGAATGCTGCACTGAGGTCTAGCAGGACAAGCACAGAGATGAGTCCACTGTCAGAGGACATAAGAAGATCATTTCATTCTTGTGCAGTGTGCTGTCATATGCTTACTCCTTAATGGTGTTGCTCTTGGTGTAAATGTTAGGCTGGATTTTTAATAGAGTGTAACTTTGATCAAACATGTTTTACATAAATAATTAAAATAGAAAATTATGGACGGGACTGGCTTTAAACTACATGGCTAGCTAGTGGGTACAAAACTCTATGCTAGCATGAAGTTCATCCTCATATACCTCCATCCACCGATGAGAATATTGCAATATGTGGTTGTGATTAATGCCCATGAAGCAAATGTGCATTGTGTAAAGCATACCAGTTAATCACTATCCTCTGTTATGCTGAGTCTAACAGATGCTGACAACATCGTTTGTCTTAACATGCATTAAACGTACGACCTCTTCTGTGTTAAACAGCTCCTCTACTGTTGTTTCAGCAGCCTCTTCTGTGTGTGTTTAATGAAATCGATGCTCATTAATTTAGCGTAATGTCCTGGTTGACAGTAGAAGCTGCTAATGCGTCTTAATGAATGCCTGCATTTTTATTTACTAGTCTGTGTATCTTTCGGACCCAGAATGTAGCATTTAGAGCCTTCGCTAATTGGCAGTGCCCATCCTTGTTCTTATTGTCACTGTGGTTCTTTGCACTTTGTACTGTGCAGATGGATGCCCCACAGTTTGGGGGTCCATCTGCCATCACCAAGAAGGATGGCCACCCCGTTCCATATCTTACATGCAACTATTTTTAACGTGTCATATATGGTTTTCTTATTAAAATGCTGGTAAAAGGAGAAATTCAAACTGGGGCTTTTGAGGTTTTGCCAGCAGCCCATTATCCTTTGGAAATAATAACTCTTTGGCATTTTTGCTTGAAACATTATTAAAGTCATTAAAGCTGATTAATTCCTTGTTAATTACCTAATCTTTGCATTTTCCTACTTCAAAGACGATACGCATTGTTTTCCCTAAAGCTTTATCAGATCTTCTACGCTGGTTTTCTAGTAACCCCAAGAAAATCTTATATTGGGTATTATCCTAACTGCTGATATCCATCTTCTATTTTCATATCTACACCTACTTCATATCAATTTGTGCTCTTTCTTGTTCTGTTGCTCATGATTTGTGCACCATATCTGAACAGTGTGAATCTCTCTTACTCAGAAAGCTCAGTTTGTCACTCTACAGAGTATTTTAGAAATGGAAGAAACAGAAAAATGTCATTTCTATTTCAGAGAACATTTACTGTGATCTTACAGTGAGGCCACTGCAGGAGTTTGGTTAAAGACTTTCTCTGTTGTCTTTGTCCACAGATGGCTTCAGCAACAGCAACCTACGGGCAGAAGGAGTCCTCTGACCAAAACTTTGATTATATGTTCAAGATCCTCATCATCGGCAACAGCAGCGTTGGAAAAACCTCCTTCTTGTTCCGCTACGCCGACGACTCCTTCACGCCGGCCTTTGTCAGCACAGTTGGCATCGACTTTAAGGTGAAGACTATCTACAGGAATGACAAGAGGATTAAATTACAGATCTGGGTAAGATGACAAGAAAAGAAAAAAAGTGCTATGAACCAAAAAGTATACCTACTTTGCTTACTAGTATCTGGTTAGTTTATATTATACTGGTTGACAGGTGTAAAGAAAAAACTGAGGTTCACACATACACACTTATGAGGGAAAACAAGACAACAGACACAGGGAGACAATATATATGCACCCAGATAACATGGGGAGACGTAAGTGATGAGACCCCAGCTAAAGCCAGGAGGAAGTTAAACCTAACATAAGACACAGTGAGCAACTTCTGTCAAAATAAAACAGGAAGTAACTAAACAAGAAATCGTTAGCAGAGAGGAATTTTCACTTCATTCAAACAGTCACAAACAGTCACCTCGAGGCCCTTTATATTGTAAGGTAAAGACCGTACAATGATACACAGAAAATCCCAACAATCAGATGTTCCCTTAACAGCAAGCGCTTGGCGACAGTGGGAAGGAAAAACTCCCTTTTAGCAGGAAGAAATCTCCTATAGGACAAGGCTCATGGAGGAGCAGCCATCATGGGGATGAAGCCATAGAGAAGGCTAGATTAACGGAACTCAGAACATAAACAGTGCTAAATACTGAGAGAAGCCAGATAACAAAGATAACAAGAACTAAAGACTATACCAAGTTTTTTAAGATATAAAATATCTCTAAAAACAAACAAGGATTCAGAGCCCAGACACACCAAAGCCCAGGATGATGACAGATAATTTCTTTCACGTTGTTTTCAAAGTCTGCCCATAATTAGTACGACTATATGAATTTTTGAAAGTCAATGCATCTGGTTTGCTTTTGGTATTTGGTATATTTGGTGGTGTTGATTTGATCACTTCCTTGAGTTATTTCAAACTAGGACACACAGATGCTGTCCAATGAGAGGTTAACTTAGCAACACCAAGGAAATGCATCTGAAGTGTGTGTGTTTGTGGTGAGGAATGAGCTAATGCAAGAAGCACTGCACTTCATCACACGTTTCACACACATTTGTTGGTCAAAGCATTTATGCTTCCTTTTCTCCACTTAGCTTTTCTGCACAGCAAATGCCCAGATGGGCTTACAGACAAGCATGAAATGTTTCCTCTGCACTGAAATGTGAAATACATAAACAGGGTGTGTGGATGTGAGAAATAAAGCTGGGTTTCAGTTCCTTGTAAGTCTTTTTTTTCTCCATTCTCCAACTATTTTTGAAAGCAAGTGCAATGCCACAAATACCTTCCAGGAAGGATCGTCCTGCACGCACACACTTTTCAGACCATTTTGCCCCTGTCTATGACGTCAGGATTTTAACCTTGCCTTTAAAAATATTGTCATTGTCAGATTAAGGAATGTAGATATTCATGTTTACCAATGGATTCTCATAATTGAGCAAATAAAAAAAAAAAACAGGAGTTGTAAGACCCTGCCCCGTGGTGCTGTTTTATTATGCAAAGTCAGATTCCAGTGAACACACAGATTTGCACACACCGGTGCCTTCGCTGCAGCCTGCATGTGCAGATGAACACCAACAGAGCAGAATACATTAGACGGTTACGGTGACAGGTCCCCGGGAGCAAACAATAAGGTGTTTCCTCAGATGTGCGTTTGCTTCTACGGGCGCGAGGGTTAAAGACAGCTGAAGCTCTAAACTGCTCTAAACTCTTTGGTTTGAGCTGCAGGAAACTGGTGTTTAGGTGCCATGCTGTAGACAATTACATCATTTCCACCTTCACACCAAAGTTCTGCAGCAACTAGAGCTGTGATGGTGAGCAGAGCATTGAATTTGTGTGGCTGTGCACACGTGGATCTGTTTTGTGTGTAAGGCTGCCTCTGTTGTCAGCCTTTCCCAGGTCTTGCCTCTGGTAAGAAAGACACAATCGGCCAATCGGAGAAGAATAAACCTAAGACTGGGTGATGCTCTCCCCTCCCCCATTACTACACATCTCAGAAGATGCCCCCCTCCCTTTCGTTTCTGTCTCACGCACACAGACACACACACACGCACACACACTTCCTCCCCCACTGCTCAGCTAGCAGAGTAAAAATGAAAATGTTGGCATGAGCGCACAGTGTGTATATTTGTGCCACAGTGTGCAGTTATTCCAGTGTATGTTGATTTGTGCAGACCCGTGACATATACTTAGATGTCATACATGTTATTTAAATGGCCACGCTTGAGAACGCGTCACGTTGCAGATAAAACTGAAGGCCTGAGAGGCCGTGTGGAGCTGCTTTCACAGCGCTCATGACAGCTGCAGTCCAAAGTAAAGACTTCTGGTTAAACGCGACCAATTAAAAAAAAATAAAATAGAGCTTCAGAATTACCAGATTCATAAAGGTAGACAGATAGGATGAACTATGATGACACTAATATAATCTGTTAGCTGACATCCAGTAAGACAGACATATACACACCGGCCAGTGCTCAGACCCTCCTTAGTTGGAGCTCCTCCATTAGATGTCTCTAGGCTCACACACACAAGGGGAAAACAGCAGAGATGATAATGTTGCAGCTAGTAACGAAAAATGATCCGTTCTCTTCTCCATTAAAATGCTATAGGCTACATTATCTCTTGTCAGTTGGAAAGATTATCATTTTATATTCCGTAGTAAGCCCTTAACTCTAAATTTGATGCTTAGCTCAAATATGAATAGTCCAGTGTTCATTATATAACACCACTCGGTGCTACCTACACTGACATTTTAGGTATAGAGCTGATGCACTTATCCAGAACAACTTGCAGCACACACTTAGTGGGTGAGCAAAAATAGGGTGCAAGCTGCGGTTGCAGAACATTATACAGTAACCATCAGTTTGGAAAGCATAGATCAAAGCGACAGCTCTCTGAAAATGCAATTTTCTAGTGACCCGAGAGTGATAATGTATGGCTGAGTGAATAGATATATTCATGTCACGCGCACACACACACAGGCACTCATCAGTTTTTTGTGCACATGATGCTTTTTTTTTGTGTATTTATCTGGTTATCAGGACTTTTATTAAAAATGTGTTCTTGAAATGGAATTTTTCAACAGATTATTGAAAGATAGGCATTTAGTTTATAGGAGCGTGTGTGATAAAATGTACCTATAACAGTAATGATTTAGCTAAAAGTACGAGTTCTTTTGACACAATTTCAGCTTCTTCCATAGCTGATTGTTGAGATTATCTTTGTCTTTCTTGCAAGTAAACCCTCAAAATGACTTAATAAGGATTATAAGGGTTTACGTAAAAGATTAATTCACTTTTTTCTTTCACTCTCTTATTAAATCTTGGCTGAAAAGTCTGACACTACTGTCATATCTTTAGCTGAAGCTTCAGGTAGCAGCTGGTTAGCTTAGCATAGTGAGAAAAAACAGATGAAAACAGCTAGCTCTGCTCTGTTTGAAGGTAACTGTTGCAGGTTTGACAGCTCTAAAAAAAAAAAAAAGGTTTGACAGCTCTTTTTGGATTGGCTGAGGCTCAGGAAGAAAGGTTGGTGGTTTGAGCCCTGTCATCTCCATTCAGCATGCCAAATGTCCTTGGCCAAATGTCCAAACTCCACTCTTTGATGCATCCATCAGAGTATGATTGTGTGTTAATGTTAGAAAGAAAACACTTAAATCGGAAAAAGCTCACCTGTTAGCATGATTTATGTTATTCTATCTAGAAACCCCCTCAACTTATAAAACCTTTGAGATATGATTTATATCTGTGCTAAGTTATCAGCTACAGCTAGCAAACGTAACACAGGTAACACATGTACCTGAATATCAGTACTAACTAACAGACAGGTGTAAGGACTCAAAGCAGACTCTACAGGCTGTTCAACAAACAGCTCATGTTTAATAGTGTAAGAAACAATTCAAGATAGAATACAGAAAAAAATCCAAATTTGTCAAATACATAGGGAGGAACAACAGGAAGATAAACAGTCATCACAACAAAGACAAGCTGAAGCCATTAAATACACAGGTGGAATAATCAGAGACAAGGGAAGTACAACTAAATACAAGGAAGAAAAGACAAACCAAAACAGGAAGTAACATAAGAACCACTTAGAAACTTGACAATGAGACACAGGAGGCAGGAAAACCAAAGTCTAAGAAATTTACGTATGTGACAATACAGCGTTAACTATAACTACAAAGAAAACTGGATCTGAAAACTAAAAGAGATTGTAGGCAAAGCTAACAATACAATCATAAAGAAACCAAATATATACTTTGTTAAATAGAACACAAAACCCAAAGAACGCTGTAAATATGAGAAATCAATAAGTAAGTACAAAAACTCAGGATCCATGACACTGTGCCACATGTTATTTGTCAGATAATTAAAAATGTCCATAAGGAGCAATACTACAAACACAGTTTGGTAGTTTTTACTGGGAGTGGCGCCTGGCAGATAGTGACCAGCTACAGCCTGCAGTGACAGCCCGAAATTTAAGCCTTAGGTTGAACTTCTGGTTGAGCCATAAAAAATGTGCCCATAGTACAGCTGTTACCCAGAGAGAAACTACCCATAAAGGCCAAAGCCAACAGGGGGAAAGAAAAACTCCTATTTAGCAGGAAGAAATCTCCTGTAGAACCAGACTCATGGTCAATAGGCCAAATATGTCTTCATTTAAGCGTGTAATGGTTAAGCTCACAGAGGGAACTTTTAATTTTTGGGTTAAGTCAGTGAAGTTGTAACCTGACCAAATACAACATTTGTCTGGCTAATAACCCTTCACCATAACCCAACAGGCAAGAGAGAGGCATTGGTCACCTTAACTGACTCTTGGCAAGAAACTAAATAAGCACATTTCCCAAAATGCCATATGTGTGCTTGCAGAAGAAAAAACCCCACACACATCTCTGATTGTATGCACTGGCTGTATGACTATCCAAATGGTTTTGAATGCCAAAGTGTCAAACAAAGAGTTCATCCTGTGAAGTGTAAACCAGCATGAGACTTTTTTTAATCTCTGCACCGACAGCTGAGGGAAGCTGTTGGAACAGAAGCCGCTCAGCTTACAAGGTGAGGCAGGGTGTTGGCTAGCAGTAACACTGTGCTTTAATTCCCTGAGCAATAATCAGGGTAATACTTGTATTACCTGCAAAAGTGACTGATTACATTAAATTAAACCTTTAAAACACAGTTATGTACTTGCCCGATGTGTCAAAGCTGTAAGTAAAGATAGGTTTTCTAATACTTTCTGCTCTGAATCGTCAGCACCTTTCCAACAGCAGTGAGGGCTGTAGATAAACTCCCCAATTACACCAACACACACGGAGCTGCTGTTTGCTTTTCTACTGCTTTTTCTACTTCTACTCACAGTGCTGTGGGAACGCACTGTGACATTAAAACACACACCTGAGAGATACACTGTGTCACATTGTCAGCAGGATTCTGGCACTGCTTATTCAGCAATATAGATGATGTAATTGTATTGCATGTTATCAGCTTTTCATTACCTGATTTAAACTGCTGTGTGAAGTATGAGGAAATATAATTCACATTTCTGCTCCTGGGTAACCAAATTGTTTCTTTAATTCTTCTTTTTTCAGCTGCCACAGTGGATCCTCTGTCTCCATTGTACCCTATCTATCTTACTCTGCCATCTTCTTCAGTCACACCAACCTTCTGCATGTCCTCCTTTATTACATCCCTAAATTTCCTCTGTAACGTTCCTCTTTTTTCTCCTGTCTAGCAGCTCCGTCTTTAACACCGATTGCCCAATATGTCCACTATCTGTCCTCTCCACATGTCTAAAACCAATCTTAATCTCCAGACTCTCTTTGTTTGAGCCACTCTGCAGTAACATGATAAAAACAATCACTGTAATTAAATTGCTCTTTTCTTTCCTCAGGACACGGCTGGCCAGGAACGTTACCGCACCATTACCACAGCTTACTACCGAGGAGCCATGGGCTTCATTCTCATGTATGACATTACCAACGAGGATTCCTTCAACGCTGTCCAGGACTGGTATGTCATTGGCTGGGGTAGTGCTGATGATAAGGGGGACTACAACATATAAGCAAGTAGGATAAACACCACTAAAAAAATTATTGTTTGGATGCTGTATCCTGTGTAAAACAGTGCTGTTATGTTCTTTTTAAGTTTCTGTTTGGTGCGGTTTAGGCACCAAAAATCACCCTCTATCGCTGTTTTTCTGGTGAGACAAAGAGTTGTGCGGATGATGAATGAAACTGCATCTAGAGATTTAGTATCTCTCTAGAAATAGATGCAGAGATACAGGGGGATAGAAGAACAGAGCCACTGATCCGGTTCAGGTTTCTGTCTATTTTAATAGACCACAGTATGAGCTTTCTGTCTCTGCAGAGTAATGAGATGCGATCGTGATATCTTTTCCTTTTTGTTGAGCTATATAACCTGACCAGCACATCACAGAGGACCATTCCATTTATTTTCCACCTACTCGGTCATACCTTGTTGTTGATATTGCCTGTGTTTATGGGCAATTCAGTCTTTAAGTTTCAGTACGGACTTACAGTAAAATCAAATAAATCACACTGATCCTTTGATTTTTTTTTTTTTGCACAATTTGAGAGTTTTTAGATTCAGATTCATTTTCAGATTCATTTTTTTACCTCTTCAATCAGTGCGATCCTGAATTTTGGGGGGAAAAAACCCTTTAATGTTGCATTCAGACGTCCCAGCCTTTGACTTTCCTCTCTGACCCCGCCCTCAGGTCGACTCAGATTAAGACGTACTCATGGGACAATGCCCAGGTGCTGCTGGTAGGAAACAAGTGTGACATGGAGGATGAGCGAGTGGTGAACTCAGAGAGAGGCCGTCAGCTGTCCGAACACCTCGGTGAGTTCATGCTGAACACACACACGCACAAAATTCAACCTTGCGAGTTTACAAGATATGTAACTTTTTATATTCAAATGGCTCTTTTGCAGACTAATAGTGCTTGTGATGTTTTAGGAACATGAGTGGAGTCTTCTCTGAGGCTGGTACCGCCTGATAAGCCAGGAAGGAGTTTGCAGTTTGCACTTTATCTGCCCCTTTGGGTTCAAACCTATCGGCCAGCTGTTGCTTTTCTGTGCAGAGTTTGCATGTTACTCCCTGTTCCCGTGTTGGTTTTCTCTGGCTGTTCTGGCTTCCTCCCACAGTCCAAAGGCAAATACGCTAGGTCAAATTGCTGTAAAAGGTTATCTGTCTCTGTGTGTTAACTTTGTGAGTCACTGGAATGATCTGCAACCGCACCACCAAATGTAATCTGCCCGGCAGATAGCAAGGTGTATCCCTTGTTGACTGACAGACCGAACACAGCTCGGCGACCTCTCTCATGCTCTGTTTCTCCTCCAGGTTTCGAGTTCTTCGAGGCCAGTGCCAAGGACAACATCAATGTGAAGCAGACCTTTGAGCGCCTGGTCGACATCATCTGTGAAAAGATGTCTGAGAGTCTGGACGCCGGCGATCCCGCTGTCACAGGGGCCAAACAGGGGCCCCAGCTGACAGAGCAGCCCGCTCCTCCTCACCAGGACTGTGCATGTTAAAGCTGACTCCTTTCCAAAACCCTTTTCCACTGTCTTTCTCCTTGTCCTCCTTTCAGCTGGACCCCAGGTCCTTGGGTCTGTACTTCATCACCCGTTTCACTCCTTTTCCTGCTCGTCTCTGTAGGAAGATTGGCTAAAGGTCACAAGAATCAAGCTGAAAAGTGTCTGAAAAGTGTCTGAATTGGTGTTTTTACTGTGGTTGCTCCTGGTTTCTCTGCACAAATGAGCTAAAAGGTCATTCAAAAAGTGCAGGTGCTGGTATGATGCCAAAGCACCTTAAATCAAGCTGCAGTTTCAGACTCTTTGCAGCCTGGTTCTTGAAGCTTTTCAACCCGTCGTATGTTGTTTCCCTGATCCTCGGTGTGGTTTTACAAGAAGGATTTGACGGCGTAACGTACACCCTCAGAGTGCCATTAAAATCCTTCCCATGTTTACAGTTCTTTGTTTCATGTCAGTTGAATATCTTGGAAAAGATGCCAGCCTTGGATTTGGTGACCAAGAGGGCCACACTGCTCAGTTCGGTAGGAGTGGTGATCCAGCTGAGATCTGCTCGGTATCAATGTAATGCATTTCATATATGTCATTAAATGTCTCTTTTGTTGTCTCACCAAGTTTCAGAACAGATAGCAAGCGTTCTGTTTTTCCGTTGTTCATCTGACTATTTTGCCTTTTTTCATTTTTTACATTTCTTTTTGTACTTTGGCGCCCCCCCCTTTTTTTCCCCTACAGCAAAACACTTAGGGGGGTGAGAGGGATGCGAACAAATTATAACTAAGTGAAAAAATAGCAAAAAATGAAGAGACAGATTTTATTTACTTATATTTATTTCAAATGTACATATAAATGTTGTGCAATATATATATCTATATACATAACATCTACAGGTATGCATTTCTGGATAGGTATAAAGATGGTACGAAGCTCTGTGAGGACAGTATCTGGTATAAAAGGCCTGTTTGTTTGGAGGTCGTGTCGAAGCGTGTCTCCTGCGAGCCGCTGAATTTCACTCTTGTTTATGTCTCGTGCTACTTTCAGAAATAATGCACCATCATAAATCGAAACTTTCTGCTAAATTACTAACAAGTCTAAATCCGTCTGGTGTGGTTTTCACTGCTGTGACACGTAGCATCGTTGCGTAAGTTCTATTTTAGAGGAAGGAGATGCATTTCTTTTTCAGAATAGTCTTAAAGCCATTTAGGTTCTCAGTGTTCGTATAATAGAAAAGGTTTTAATGTGTCTTTGTCTTTGTCACTGGAAGATAAAGGGAAAAATAGGAGGCTGTCTAAAAAGCATCTTTGTGCAACACAGTTGAAAGTATTTTCCATCAGGTGGAGAAAATTCTGCAGATACCTTTTTTTGTAAAATACTGAAGTTGACGTCATGTAACAGCTAAAACCTTCAGACTTCAGGCTTTCATCTCTTTGATTGCTGTCCTCAAATATAAAGACACTGAAACATTTCATCAATCTTTGAAGGACAAGAGCGATGTTGCTTCTTTGATATTCCAGGGTATTTTGCTTTCTATTGGTAGCTTGCCTGCAGGCAGTGAAAGAAACATCAGGATAGATTAGGATGATTCCCAAAACGGCCAGATTGGAGTTTGTTGTGGTTACTTGGCAGATCTACTGATCTTTGACCTCTAGGTGAGTACAGTATGCTGGCTTGCTTTCAAAATCATTCCACAACTACAGTCCTGAGCTTCTGTCTTGCTGGTTGAGACTTACAGAGAGTAGAGATCATGCTGACACATGGTACAGCACCGTAGCGAGATTCAAGACAGGAAAAACATGTATGGCAACATGTGTGGGGTGTAATCCGTATATATGTGTTTGATTGCATTATTCTGAAAGAGAACTCGTTTCTTTTCTGGACGGAGACAGCGTATCAAATAACATGTTGACTCCTCGTGTTTATCTGCTTAATAAAAAAACACTACGCGATTAATACCACTAACACCTCAGTATTACGGATAAATGTGGGCTCTTGTGTGGGCGTCGGTTTATTTGTGTGTTTGCGTTTGATCTCAGTCTTCAGGTAAATTATGGACCGCACTGTTTAAATACGAAGCAAGCGTAAAGCAGCTGAAGGCTCGAGCCAATGCAGGAGTTAAATATTCAGTACTGGGAAAGTATTTGCACTTTGGTTTTATTACAGTTTTAACAGTTAAAACTGGCTTACTGGGTATTCCTTCTTTATACTTCACCAAAGATTGCTTAAGAAGCAGCTCGCTGTTTTTGCTGTGGGGTGCCAGGTCGAGGAGTGTAACCAATTTTAAACGTTTAAACAAGTAATAAAACAAGTTCCTCACAGGGAAATATTGTGAGTCCTGTTCATATCAAAAGGATTTCATATCAAAAGGATTTCATATCAGCGTTAACCCATATTGATGAATGGGATGACATCTATGGACTGAAAGGGCAAAGCGCTACTGGATGAAAATCAGTAATGAATGACTTTGTAAAGCTCGTGTCTCATGTTTGGCAGGAACTTCAATATTATAAAAAACTGAGTCTCCATTCAGAGTGGTGTTATTAGAACAGGAAGTGATTTGGCCAGTAAATATGACTATAAACTGCGGAGATGATTTTGATCCTGCATACATTTTACTTCTTACTGGTTGTGACTGTTTCCTTTCTGGTAAAATCCAAAACTTTGAACTGTTCTCCTTTCTAATATGTCTTCCTCTCCATATAAACCCTGTCTGTAAATACTCTACCTTTGAGTCATATGTGTGGATTGTGTTGTATTGACTCAGGCTTGCATTGAAAAAAGAAGAAGAAAAAAAAAAGACCTGAAATCCCCCAAAGAGCCATGTTGTACTGTACCCTGCATTCATTTCTAGGCCTGCTTGTGAATGAATGTGTCACTCAGCTACGAAGCAATACACACTACAGTATGTACACAAAAACAAACGCCATCCAGCTTGGTAGAGGTTGCCGACTGTAGAGCTTCTACTAGCACGCAGAAATAACATGTGACTTGATTTGGTCTTGTATCACTGCCTCTTCAGTTCCCTCTCAGTTTGGGCCATTTAAAGTGAGAGAATATGCTGTGGATGTTTTTATCTGTACTTTGTGGTAAAACAATAATTAAAAAAAAGTTGCTAACATTCAGTTTACTGTGGTTTTTGAAGTGTTTCTGCCCTCAGTGAATGCTTTTACCTGGCGCTTCTTCAACATCCAGTGAGGTTTTTACTCTGAACCTAAGATTCAGATTAGTTTAAAATAATAACATATGACAGACGCTTGAGTCACCAGGATTTAGCATGAAATTGTCATTTTGGTGGCAAATATCTAGCTGCTAGTAGCTTCAACATCCTCAGGATGTCACTCTTTCACTTTTCATTTTTGAAAGAAATTTGAAGAAAATCTCAAAAACTAGTCAGTGTCCGTCAAAGACCCAGAGACAGAGAGAAGGGCATTTAAATTTTAAACAACTCACCTGCCACTTTATTAGGTACATTTGTTCAATTGTTTGGTAACATATATGTGCAATCATCCAGTCACATAGAACCAACTCAATGCATTTTAGGCATACAGTTCAAACCAGACATCTGAACGGGGAAGAAAGGTAATATAAGTCACTGTAAATGCAGCTGATAGGCGGGCCTGATGTATTTCAGAGACTGTTGAGCTATTGAGATTTTGCCATGCAGCCTTCTTTTGGAGAATGGTCTCCAAAAGAGCAGCAGTTCTCTTATCAAAAAGCCTTAATGATAACTGAGATGAGAGGGCGTCAGCAATTAAAATGATTACATCTTAAACAACCAAGGTATGCAGAGGAGCATCTCTGAGTGCACAACACACTGAGTCCTGAAGCAGATGGGCTACAGCATCAGAAGATCGCAGTTCAGTCAGCTAGAAACATTAAACTGAAGCTATAATTCACCCAGGCTCACAAAAACTGGACAACAGAAGATTACAAAAAATGTTCTCTGGTCTACTGAGACTCAGTTTCTGTGCAAGATTGAGAGGATTATACTGATGGCTCATTTAAACACCACAGCCTACCTGAGCATTGTTTCTGACCATCTATCCCCTTATCACCACAGTGAACTCATCTTCTGATGGCTGCTTTTAGCAGGATAACACATCGTGTCACAAAGGTCAAATCATCTTAAGCTGCTTTCTTGAACACTACAGAACATGGCCTCATAACAGTCACTGGAAGCATCTGTGGGCGTGGGAGATTCTTATAATTTCAGAATAAAATATTGGTACAAATATCTACAAAACAGCTGGTTGAGTTCTGCTCGGAGTTGACAACATCCAAATAAGTGATTCAGGCAGCTGTCATGATTTGGAGCTATCAAAATAAAACTGAATTAAACTGAACTGAATAGATGTGCTGGATGAATCTCGTCCACTGCCACGAAGGTCAGAAACATTTTGTCCTAAAATGCTCTTGTTTCATTTGTAATTGCACAAATAACCAGCAGAGGGGGAAATCCTCCAGCCTGATGCTTTTATACAGAAATCTAAACAACAGATGAAATTATACTGCCAAAATGTGTTAATGCAACACTGAATCACTAATTCTGAACAGCAAGATAAAATTACACTCCTTAAAGGGATCATTTCCATAAAGTGGCAGAGAAAAAAAATAACAGGTAAACAACAGGTAGTTTCACAATCATTCGAAAACTAATCTTAATGTAACTGCCCTTCATGAAACTGACCATGAAACCTGACCTGTTTAACACCTTATTTACTGTAGACTACATGTGACCTTCATAACGTGCAGGTAAAAACCCCCAATAAAAAACAGCGAGGCTGGCTAAAATATGGAGAAAACAGTGTTTATTGCCCAGCAGCATTTATTTCAAACACAACCGCATAAAGCCGAATAACTGTAGGCTAGAGGTGATCGCAACAGTCAGCGCAAACAGAAAGATTACACTCTTCTTCACATTTAAAACAAGAACACATTTGCAGTAAAGACTCAGTAGAGTATTAAAAAAGAAAAAAAGAAAGAGAAATACACAAGTGTGCAGGTTACAGATAATAAACACTGATTAATTCCTCATGTGAACCCAGCAGCGGGCGACATTCGAGTTTGTCAGCAACATGCAAATTGTTCCCTACAGAAATACACAGCATGTAGGCTATAAGTGTAGATCAGATCTCATGTATCAAATATGGGTGTGGTTGGCGTTTTCCCTTCTTCTTTTTACAACCAAATCCCTCATATTTTAAGAATATCAGAATCATAAATGTGTATATTATCGTAGAAACACTGTCTGTCTTGTTTGGTCCAGCTGACGACTGCATATAAGCAGTCAGTAAACACGTATACGCGACTCTTTCTCCCATTAGGAAAGCCCATGGCATCATTTCATTGAAAATACTGGCAGTTTAAAGCTGCCTTGTTCAACAGTAAACATACATAGAATTAGTTATGTAGAATATATTAGAGGCAAATGCCCTTCATTTCGGCACCAAAATAAATACACCAATTTGACTTAAAAATCAAATACATCATATTGATTTGTTCTATCCGCCAAGTGGGGGCGAGTTTGAACAAATGGTCGAGGAACGCAAACACAGTTTGACTTGCTGCTGGCTGGTATCCGCGCTGAGGTCCATGTGTTGATGTATTTTGTGCCAGGTGTGTTTTACGTTTGATCAATCATAAAAGTTCAGTTTTCTTTTCGATTTTTTTTTGTTAAACAGACGAACATGAATGTACAGTTTTGGCCTACGTGGCCTGGCATTCATCCCCTGCGCGTAACGGCACACATCTGGGCTACGACACACACGGAAACCCCAACATTAACAAAGTCCAAGCTTATAAGCTGGTCAGTGGCCCAACAGCAGGTTAGTCCCTCCGACTAGTGCACTTGAACCTCGTGTGGCAGCAGCTGGCAACCGCTGTTCACATGGGTGAGCACCTTCTGCTTCAGCTGGGCCACTTGCTCCCTCAGCAGGCTAGCTGTCGAGGCCAGGTCGGTGTTTTGGGTTTTCAGCGATTTGACCTTGTCCTCCAGCCTGGAGATGCGCTCCAGTTTGCGCCTCCGACACTTGGAGGCTGCGATTCGGTTCCTGAGCCTCTTCCTCTCGGCTTTGATGCGCTCCTGAGAGTCCATGTCGATCGGAGAGAGCGGCGGGCTCTCTCCGAAGCTCTGAACGTCGGGGACCGTCTGAGGCTCCTCCTTCAGCGGCTGGACCCGAGACAGCTCTGGCTGCGGCGGGGCTGCCCCTAAATGATGTGACGGAGGAGGCGGGAAAGGGACCGTGTCCGTGGTGTAGTTGACAGTGGTTCCCAGCGGCCCACTGCCGTAACTGTTCAGGTTCGTGTACACCGGTAGATCCGGCTGCACGGTGACTGGGGCGATGTTAGCCCCGAGATCCAGGGTGCTGCTGGGCGGCGCGCCTCCGTTCAGCTGGTTCTGCTTGTGTAAATCCTCCAGCGCCTTCACGAAGCCCTCGGCGAACTCCTGCTCGTCCGTCACCGTCTTCGGGTAGAGGAACTGGGAGCTGGTCGGAGTCGTGGTGACCATTCCGTTGGACTGGATGATTAGCCTTTCCAGCTCTGGAGAGGCCAGCTTGAGCAGCCCAAGGTCCGGGGAGCTGAGGATGCTCTCAGCGTCGCGGAGGTGCGGTTTCAGGTCTGCGTCGTCCGCCAAGCTCAAGTTAATATCCTTCTTCATCATTATTTCCGTGGGTACAATGACAAGTGGCGCTGCTCGACACTCCCTCAGAACTGTGTCCTGCCCATAACCTCACAGAGACGAACCGCGCCGGGAATGATCTGCTCTTAAAATGAATACAACACTTGCAACACTTGTGTGAACACCCCGTGTCGCTCTTCTCCTCTCCTACAGGATCTGAATACACGCCCGCGCGCGCCGCCCCGAGCTTTTCTAGCCTGGCACGTTCCATTATGTCACGCCGGAGCGCGCGTATTGGGTAGAAATTACGTTTTCCAGTCTTATATTTGAATAAAAGGACGAGCCGAGCAGAGGATGCAGACAGAGGTCTCACTCTGCGTTGGTTTCAATAGTTTCTCTCCCACCCTGGTTATTTAGTCTCCACTTTGATTTATGAGTCATCCAGTTTAAATCGAGCATTACGCACACCTAAAAGCAGATCACTAACAAAAGTGGCTCAGAAATGTGTGCCGTGGACAGACTGAGTCACCCTGTTAAAAGTGAAGTAGTTTGTAATTACAGTTAGATCGATAAGATAAAGGCACACTCTTTTATAGTTGTGCACTTGTCCACCACCACAGTGGATTATTAAATCAAATGATCAATATAAGACTGAAGAGCAGACTTTCAGCTCTAACTTGAGGGATTAAAAAATCTTACTTTAACTGCATTTTATAGCTTTTTGTTGATTGTAATTTTAGATATGACGACCAAAGTCAGAAAAGTCTGGATGAGGCTTAAAAACAAATAAACTAACAAACTATTTGGTTTATTATTGTCAAAAATGAATGCACTGACCAACCTGGCTTTATATGTATGTGTATGTATGTATATGTATGTATGTATGTATGTATGTATGTATGTATGTATGTATGTATGTATGTATGTATCTATCTATCTATCTATCTATCTATCTATCTATCTATCTATCTATCTATCTATCTATCTATATCTATCTATCTATCTATCTATATATATATATCTATCTATATATATAATATTATATATATATATATATAATCTGACAATACATATAATATATAATGTATGTATGTATGTATAAAAAAAACCCAGCGGTTGTAAAGAACAGGAAGGCCAGATCAAACCAAACTTTTTGGACGAAGAGCCTGCACAGTTCTATAAACATGACAGATGAAACCAGAGTTAAGTTGGACAAAAATGATGGGAAGAGAAAAGAAACAGCTCATGATCAGGGGAGTAACACATTATCTGTCAAACACTGTGGACATAGTATTAAGGATATCAAATGGTTAATGCCTCAAAGCATACTGCAAGAGCAACCCAAGAGTTGCTCAAGGAAAAGAAATGAGATATTCTTCGATGGCCAAGTCAGTCACCTGATCACAACCCAACATGCTTTTCAGTTATTAAATACAAAACTGAAAGTACAAAAACCCACAACCAATCAGCAAAAAAGTGGCTGCAATGAAGGCCTGACA